GGTGTGTGTGTGTGTGTGTGTGTGTGTGTGTGTGTGTGTGTGTGGTTACTCACAGGCCGTACGATGAGTTGACAGCGAGGCTTGTGATTGGTTGAGGAGGCTCCCCACTGACCCACAGCAGCTGAACCACCAACTCCACCTGGAAACCTGGAGACTGTTTGAGAGGAGAGGAGCGCACTCTATACACACACACACACACACACACACACACACACACACACACACACACACACACACACACACACACACACACACACACACACCAGATTAAAGGGGAGTGTTCCTTTAAATGTGATCCACAGTTCCCTCCTCCCTCCCTAAAGGTGTTTTTCTTACTGCAGGCAGGGTTTGTTGTCTCTGGGCCCGTCACAGTTGGGGGTCTGAGGGGGGGCGTCGGCCTCCTGAGGGCTGGAGGGGGGGGGCAGGCTCTGCTCAGGTGACTCAGGTGAGTCCCCCTCACTGAACTCACTCTGCATACGCACCTCCAGCAGCTGGAAACAAGAGGGGGTTTGCATCGAAGACTTTTTTAAATGCTTCTCAGAATTAAATCAAATACAATTATTGAAGTTTTTAAGTATTATTTATTATTTTACAATAAAATATCACATGCATAAAACCCTTCTTCCTGTGTCTGAGCTCCTGTACACTGTCATATCTCTAAACACGTGAGTTCTGCCCGGCGGCTACAAGAGGAATTTAAATCAAAACTCAATATTGATGGATGTCTTTACGTTTCATGAACTGGTTGTTACATGCTTAATTCAGAACAAGTCCTATTTGGTTTCCCACGAAGAAAATATAAATACATTTGAAGGTTTTTATTAGTCATTTAATGTTAAATAGCAAATAGATGCATAAAATGGCCGTGGATGTCAAAACATTGCTTTTGAACTATTTCATAAGTATTAAGAATAACAAAGGAATTAAAATATGTAATAATACATTTTGAAGTATTACCCCAATAGAAAGGGGACCATCAAAAGTAACTTCCTGTCCCTGCCTTGCCCTGGACTTCCTGAATGACTCAGAAAACTAATCATGTGTGTAGATGTTTGTGCTGATGTCCTCCCACCCACCTGCAGGGTGTCGGTGGTGACTTCCTGTTTGCTGAACCTGTAGATGAGGATGTGAGCAGAGACTCCGGCCACACACAGCGTTCTGCTCTCTGGACACCAGCTCAGCGTCTGGATGGCAAACGGATCCTCGTCCACCATCTCTGACCCTCCTTTCTCCTCCGATCGCCGGGAGCGCTCAAACACCTTCGCCGTCTTCAACTTATACAACGCCTGCAGCATCACTGAGGGCAGAAACACATATAAGTACATGTTTAAATGTGATCTGTACTCATAGTATACACAGCCTAGCTGGTACAACGCCTGCAGCATCACTGAGGGCAGAAACACATATAAACACATGTTTAGATGTGATCTGTACTCATAGTATACACAGCCTAGCTGGTACAAC